GTTATTCCTAACTAACCTCTTGTGTTTTTTTTGAGTAGCATATGTTGAAATACCTTTTTAAAATCCTATGTTACCCACCAAAATTTACAGTTTTCCAGAATTCTCTGTTTGGTTGCTCACTGCCCACCTAACAGTTGAAATTACCCACTGGTGGACAGTATCACCCAGGTTGGGAAACCCTGCATTAAATGTTTACAACTGTTATGAATCATTTAATTAAAAAAAAAGAGAAATAAGACACTATAGAAATAAGACAGTATATGGAGTGAGAAAGGAGATTTGTCATTGTATTCTAGAAACCGAAGCAATCCTCATTCAACTTATCACTCTTGAATAATGCTTTTTAATTTCTCAGCTGTGGTCAAACTGAATGAAGACAATTATTGAAGAATAATTCAGGACAGCAGGGTGCAGAGTAACTTAGAAAGGTAGAAAGATAATGATCTTGCAAGTGACATAAAAAACTGGTCAGTGTTTATGTTTCACAAATCAGACAGGAGATTTTGATTACTGAACATGATATTAGGGTGAAGAGTTTAAGGAAAAGGTTTAGATACAAGTTATAATGATAACATTTATTATCATTAGAAAAGCTAATCTACACATAGGACCTCCCCTACATAGAATGTGTAGTGTGACTTGCCAGAGGGACCTGTTGTTGACACAGATAATAGGTGTCCATTTCATCAGAACAGGTCTGAGATTCCCTTCATCTGGAGCTGGTCATTTGGCCTAAGAGCAGGTCTCAGGTCCTTGTGTGAGTGTTTTTTTCTTTACGCCAGTTCTTGTGTCTCTGAACTTCAATAGTCATCATGTGGTTTTCTACTTCTATGTAAAGGGAGACAACCTTTTCCATCAACCCAACAAAGAGAATATGAAATAAATTTTCAATTGTGGAAAGGTTATATTAAATCACCTGTTAAGTCTGCTGCTAGGAATATCAGTTCACTATATTGTATTAGATAATTTTTCTCAGCAGACTCTATTTTGCAAATTTATAAGTCTAGTATTCATTCATGCATCGAATATTGCTGCTACATTGGGTCTGGTGCTTTTGTATTATATCTACAGATTCTTGACACAATCCAAAGAATCTGGCATCTCAGCTTCAGTTACTTTCACACCATCATAATGTAGTTTCTCTTCGCCTCTTTCATGGCAATTGTTCTGATGGGCTTTCCTTGTTAGTACCTTGATTTCATGAATTTAAGCATACTGGATTGGCAGTTAGGTCTCGTAATTTCACTGTTGAAATTGCTAGTTGTAACCATACTAACAGTTTCTTCTACTGAACTTCTTCTCTTCTGGCTTCTTGCTTTCCTATTAACTATGATTGTCAAAAATTTAAAAGCAACATCAATCAGCCTTCTCTGTCTCTTTGAATTCTGTTCTTTTATTGTCCTCTCTGTTTCTTTCATTCTCAATAACCTTTGCATCCTCTCAGCTTTTACTGCTTTACTTGGAGGGAAATGATTATAAAAAAATTTTGTCTTAGAGCAACCTTTATTTTTCTTTAATCACTGAACTTGCCAATGGGATATTTTCAGCTTTTAACAAATTCTATATTCTAAAGATCATTCATAGAACAAAGCAATCAGTATATTAATTTAATTATCAATTCAACTGTCAATAATGAATAATGTATAATTATTGATCATAATTAATTGAAAATTCTTAATTGTATAAGCATCATATTATAATTGAGCTTGTCCCTTCCTTCATTAGTTCACATGAATGTTATGTCCTGCCAATACCTCATAAATAATGGATTATTCCATTTTGATCACATGTAAAGTGGGGAAAAGACACTACTTAGTTTCAGTGAGAAAATGAAAGAAATAAAGTAAGAAGGGAAGATAAAAGTATTTAACGATTGTTTCAGTAAAATGGAAAAAGTTCTCAATTCCAAATCTCTTCATTTTTACCCACCTCTTAAAATAATGACTAGCATTCATATTTAAGACAATCATAATATTTCAATATTTTGTTAAAGTTGTTAAGCTCAAATATTTAACAATGCGATAGGGTAACTTCTATGGATATTTTATTGTTGTAGAACTCACTATGAGCTTACTCAATCTTAGAATCTTCAGAATTAGGATTCATCAGAATATTAAAATAGAAAAACCGTCAAATTTTCATGGGTTAAAACTAGTTTTATATAACTGTCTTACCAGTATAATATATAATTAGGTGAAGACACAAAAAAAAAAAGAAGTTTTGATTGAATGATTGATTTGTTTTTTATGGTTTAACAACCCTTTGTAGGTAATTTAAAGCCAAAACATATTTTTGGATTTTGTGAGTGAATATTGCATAAACAATTTTTTCAAGAATAACAATGATTTTTGCAAATTCAAGTCCTACTGTTTAACCCATAACTGGGGGGAGGAGGATGGATTCATAACTTTCCCAAAGGTATTTGCGCATAAGTGAATGTAACAAGAACGACTGGGATTGACACTTGGCTCTATGAGCTGATATCCATTACACCCACCCACACATCTTGTGTCTGTGGGAAAAGGAATAACTGGCTACTCTCAGGTGCTTTGTAGAAGTGGGGTTTTAATAATTGGTGGGGTTGGAATTTTCCTTAACAGGCAATAAACAGGGTGTCTTAATAAAAGGGGGTGAGAAAATCATTTAAAGGGTCAAAAAGCTTGAAATTAATGGGGTCAGAAAATATCTTAAAACAAAAAAATAAAATGAACGTTCCTGTTAGGCATTTAATAGTATGAACATGGTAAGAAAAAAGAGCCAAGATTGTTACCAGCTTAGCTAGAACAGTGTGAAATTGAATACTGTTGTCACTTTTGGTGGTATAAAATCGTTTTTGTATTTTCAGAAGGCAACTTCTTGGAGTTCAAGTACAACTTAAAAGAATGGGCAGTAAAACATTTGTGAAATCAGGATGTAACCATCTTATACTTTGATGGAATAAGGCAAATATGGTCTATAGAAAAATATCTTTGTATTAACCAAAAGAGACCCCTTATTTCAAAAACATAAAATGATATTGGGGCAAAAAGTAAAAAGCTCAATTTAGGGTGGATATGGTATTATTTCTCTTCAGGAGAATTCTGTTTGTCACTCTAGGTTCTTTGGCTTGGTCTGCCCAAGTAAATAGTGTTCCACTTTCTTTCTCTTGTCAGTTTTAATTAAGCCTCCCATTAATCAGAGGTCATAAAGAGAAGACAGTTTTCCTTGTATTTCATCCATACTTTATCTTGCTGGAATGTAAATTTCCAAAGCAGAAGACAATGTCTAAAATTTAACTCGTTGGCAAAATACTTTATCAAGTATTTTCTGATTCAGTTAATTATTATTAATTGATTATTAATAACCTGTTACTATTTCTATAGTTGACTCTGTGTTATAGCTGTATAAACACAGGTATAAATTCATGAAGGAAAAAGTGCATTTAGGGTTAATGTCTATTTCACGAGGAAAGATAGACTGGAGAATTTAACACCACTCCATATGAAAAGCATGTGGAAACAGTGAATTTGTGTGAGCAGATGGTAGAACAACGACAAAGAAAAAGATAGGATGTTCTCAAGTGTTGTGATCACCCATATCTTAATAGGAAAAAAATGTTAAAGAAAATAGGAACAAAAAAGAAAACTATACTTACAATCAGAAAGAGACAGCTGAAATATATAGAGCACATAATGAGGAAGGAGGGCCTAGAGAATTTAATACTCACAGGACAAAGAGTGAGTAATATACATAATCAGTTTGTCTGAATGGGTGTCAAAATAGAGTCAAAGAGAAATGGTAAAGAGTCACAAACTACTTAGAGCAATAAAAAACTGGATGTTGTGTAGAACTATGATTGCCCATAACGAGGATTTGACAAATAAAAGAAATGTGTTTCATTTAACTAATCTGAATATGTGTTTATACCTCTTTGTTTAAAATATAGCCATACATACATATATAACTGTGTGTTTTGGTTGACCAGAATTAATCTTGTGCAAAGATAGGTGGGTCTTGCCTGACAAAGGATCTGTGGTTTGTTATAATGTTTTGAGGCAAGATTTTACCAGACCAGATGCACTTCCTGACATCCAACTCAGATACTCATGGTAGTCCAAGTACACAGTGTTTTTATCAAGACATCATCTCTAGGATCATTGCCAATTGAGGCTTGAGACTCAACCCGGGTGTAACAATATCAGTGTCCGCTGATATCTTGTTAAAGGAAAAAACATCTGAAAGATGTTACAGAAATTGTATTGACAATTATTGCCTAGATGATTATCAGTTAAGTGGACCTCACAAGGACCATGTCAAATGATCCTGACAAAAAAGGTCAATGATTCTTCTATTTTACACAATACTTACATTTAAAATATTTTTACAAACACAACAGTGCTTCATGTTCAGAGATAAACAATGACAATTTTCTCATAAAATATTTCAGTGATTTTTTCACATCTTCTTTCTTGTACTGTTATTACATATTTATAATATATCTTTATTTGTTCTTGAAAACACTTATCTTTTAATTTCAAAAAAGAATATAATCCAAAGTGCTAATATTATATAGGAGTAGATAGGTTCAGAGTAAGAATAGATAGTTTTGCAGTCTGCCCTGTTCATACTCCTCCCCAGTCTTTTGAACAGGAGTAGAAGTATATCCCTTGTTTCATAATTAGGATTGGGTTTCCAATTTCTTCTAAAGTCTTTGCATTTTTTTTCACTTCTAGTAGACGCCCTCTGTGTCTTACTGGTTCATTCATATTTATGGCTTATCAACACTTTGCAGGTTATTTAAAGCCAGAAAATATTTTTTTATTGTAAGAATTTTTTTTTTGAGATTTAGTGATAAAAGTCTCACAAATTAACCCATAGCTAGGGAAGAGTAGGTGGATTCATACCTTTCCCCAAAGGTATTTGCACTTAAGTGAATATAATTAATCTAACGGGAAATGGAACTCAGCTCTCCAAATTAACAATTCCTAGCCATTATCCATTACACCATCCACACATCCAAGCTTACAGCACCTTGTATTCTCAAGTTGTCACCCACTAAGGTACTGACCAGACTCAATATTGCTTAACTTCAGTGATCATATGGGAGCTGGTGCATCAATGTCAGCCCCAAAAGGGCAGATGTCAGAAAAGAATGATTAATTACAATCAAAGAGTTTCAACTGTGTTTGCGCTATCAGCAAGGAATTAACTTGGAACTCAAAACCCAGAACTGTCGGCTTATAAACCACCATCAATCTTTGCAATGATATCCATTGCTTCACTATTTGCAAGACATGAAAGGAATAAGTGTTTATTTTCGTACAACCCTCTTTTAGTACATAATCTTGTTGATAAGCAATGAAAACTATTTTTGTTTTAATCTTTTTCATTTTTTTTTTTAGTAGAAGTGATAAGGAGCAAAAGATTTGGTTGTCAAGGATTATTATATATACTGGAGACTATCTTGTGGCAGTCATTAGTAAAAATATTTCTATATCTGATCAACTTTAGAATGAAACTTCTTCACTAAAACTACAGGGTGCGATGGATAAATTGTCATCTAAATTATGCAAAAAAAAAAAAAATGAAAATAACACTGATATTTCTTTTTAACAAATATATTTACCAAAATTGCACAAAGATATCTTGAAATACTAAAGAGTAAATTTATTCAATAAATTCATCATTGGCTTCAACCACGGCCTCTAGACGACTTCAGAATCTCTTGCAACTCTTCTGGATGGTCTCCTTGTTCAATTTGGTGAATGCTGTCATAATCCTTGCCTTCAGTTCATCTTTGGTATTACAAGAAGTTTTTTTGTTCTCTCACACAACTGTGCCCCACACATAATAATCAAGGGGGTTGTAGTCTGGGGAGTTATGTGGCCAGATGTAAGGGGTGATATAGTCATAGAAATTGTCTGGCAGCCATGACTGGATTCTCCTGTTTATGTATAACATGGTGCAGAGTCCAGTTGCCAGACATAGGGTCTTCCAGCAGCCACCCTTTTGACCCAGGGCAGTGCTACCTCCTCAAGGGACTTGATGTAGGTCTTTGTGTTGAGTCTGAGGCTCTGTGGAAAGATGAATGGAAGCATAACATTGCCATCACTAGTCATCACACCAAACACCATTGTAATCACCATTAGACTCATCCAACTCTTTCTGAATCCTCTGCACTGTCCACAGATTCATACCCAAACACTTGAAAATGTTCATATTGGAGCTTTCAGTGTGAATACCAAGAAGTTTCCAAATTTCTGGTAGAGGGAATTGTGTCATGGTGATCTTTGTCTCACAGATGGTGCCCAACTGACCCTACTATACTGTGCATTTGACAAAATAAAAAGCGAACAACATGCATGCATGAAATTAAAAATATAAAATGGCGACAATTTAGACATCACACTCTGTAGTATATAATCCAAGTGCACAATTTCCTTGTTATAATCTGTTTATAAATGATTGAATGAGCAATATATCCTCTTCTGTTGTAATCAACTGAATACCCATTTGTCAAAATTTGGTAGGTTCTTAAACTTACTATAATCTGATTAACAGAAAAAATAAAACTATTAAATTGTCAAGTGTACTATATGCCTTTACAATTTAAAATAATCAAAATGATAAATGTTTTTCTCTAATTAACCTCACTGAGATATTTTGAAATCTGCTTATACCATACCATCTCAGGTAACTCTAATATGCAATATTAGTAACATGAAACTCATTACTACCTGCCACATGGTTGAGTCATTGGCATTTCTGGCGAGGAGGTCAATGGCCATCTAGCACAATCATATAGACTTGCCTCCATAGATATAGATGCAGGAAATGCAAAGACAACATGGCATCACTGGGAAGAGGGCTTCATAGTCTAAAGTCTCCAGCCAAGTTGGAGTATACCCCCAATGGAATCAATGACCACGTGTCCATGACACGCAAGCATTTTATAAAAATGACGATTCCACATATCTGGGTTTAATACTGGGGAGGTATTCTTTCATGTGTAGCATGTCTTGGCAAAACATATTAGGTGGAACCCATTTGTCTCTAAGTGAAACTACAGCTGATGTCCTCCAACTTGAAGGTTTGTCTTAGTCATGGACACATGGTCATTGATTCCATGACTCAGTATTAAACCCAGATATGTGGAATCGTCATTTTTATAAAATGCTTGCACATGCTCAATACACTCAGGTTTGGGTTTTATTGTATTTAACAAAACTTTAACACCATAGTATTATATCATATGAAGGGTTATCACTTTTTACCACAGTCAGGTGAGAGAGTTCCCTTGGCCATTGTCACTATGAAGAATCCTTTTTTTTAGTATATATTGTGTAAAATCATATTATTTTCAATGGAAAGTTCTTCTTCTATGTGTTATGTCCCTTCAGGGCATTGGCAATCATGGCTCTCCACAATTTCCTGTTCTTTGTACTGTTAGTAAATTTGGGCTTTTTGCAATCTCTCCTAAAACCTGTTCTGCCATACATTTACACAAGCTTCTTAGGTTGTTTTTCCTCTTCCCCTCTTGCCTTCAGTCTGTCCTGTCAGTGTCAAATTTTCCAAGCCCTCTTTCCTCACTATGTGCCCTATAAATTTTAACTGTCTCTTTCCAATATTATGTATATGTTTCCTTTTTGTTTACATTTTCTTTAAAACTTTCTAAAGTTTTCTCTAAGCCTAATAGCAGTGTCAAAAGAAAAAATATTTTTTTAACATACCACCTTTTGTGGGTATATTTCTTAAACTTTGCCAAAAATTCAAAAGAAAATTTTGAAAATAATCTTGATAAAACTAGACACATAATACTGTCGACCTCAATAATGAATACAATTGAAAAGAGTTTATCTAAACATAATATAAGATTTGTTGCAACTACTTCAAAAATATTAACATAAAATAAAATGATAACAGCCTTAAATTCTGAAGCAGGTATTTACAGAAGAGATTGTAAAAAAATGACACAAAAATACATGGGTGAAACATCTAGGAATTTAAATAAAGATTGTATGAACACAAAAGGGATCTTTTACACTGAATGAATTACTCCTTCATTATAATATGGCAGACCATAATTTTGTCTTAATGCAGTTTTATTCAAAAGAGGATGTAATTTCTTGAGGCAAAAATCTATTGAATGTGTGAAACACATCTCCTTTCATAACAAATTAATGCTATGACAGCAGAGGATATTTAAAAACAATAACAATAAAAATAAAAAAAATAAGCGGTATGAAGCTGAATGAGGTTAGTTAGTTTATATATCTATATATGCATATATCTAGATATATCGGATGGCTAAAATTTTGCACAAATTTAAAGCTAAGCATCAGGATTCATACAAGGGTATTAGCATATAAGTGAATGTAGTGGATTTGACTGGAATTTGAACTCGGCTCTCCGATTCCTCAATAAATGTTAAAAAAATGAAAAGAAAAACGTTAAATTCATTACCTTATGTTATTTAAAACATATACTCCATAAATTAACCCCAAACTGAAATAATTTAAATAATAATTTGCATTTAAAAAAAAAAAATTAAGAACATCACTCACTAACTCACTTTTGTTTATTAGACATTGAAGAGTGTTGCTTCATGTCCTCCATAGCTTGACTGATTTTTCAGCTAACTTGATGAATATTTATGAGTGTTCTTAAATTTAAAAATTTTGAAAAACCAATAACATTTTTGCTCTTGTATATAAATACATGTTACAAAATAAAATCCTTGCATTTGCCTTTAGAGGATGAAAAACATGGGTTGAGATAAGTTTTCCTTTTGTCTTTATTCACATTATCCTTTTACAGATATACTCTATCTGAAATTTACACACACACACACACGCACACACACACACACACACACACACATAGGATAATGATATATTAAGTATAATTTTAAGGGAAAGAAGTATGACAAAGTGGAATAAGTTTTTGTGTGATGCTTTTCATCCTTTAGGACTTCATCAAACTAAATTTGTTTATGTTGGTATGACTACACATGTGCATGAATGAGAGATGCTGGGAATTTTAAATTTAATTGTTTTTTCTGATGAAGTCCTAAAGGATGAAACATGTCACACTTTGACAAACTACTGATTTGCAGTGATCTTATAGAAAGTCATCCAAATATGTTAGATCTGAAGATCTGGGTAACCATTCAATTCATCCATATTGTCCAATATATATATATATATATATATATATATATATATATATATATATATATATATATATATATATATCCATATTGTCCAATATATATATATATTCATATATATATATATATCCATATATACATATATCCAATATATATATATATCCATATATATATATATATATATCCATCCATATTGTCCAATATATATATATGTATATATATATATATATAAATATATACATATTGTCCAATATATATATATCCATATATATATATATATCCATATATATATATATATCCAATATATATATATCCATATATATATATATCCATCCATATTGTCCAATATATATATATATATACATATTGTCCAATATATATATATCCATATATATATATCCATATATATATATATCCAATATATATATATAGCCATATATATATATATATCCATCCATATTGTTCAATATATATACATATATATATATCTGACAAAGTAGAAAAAAATTTTGTGTGATGCTTTTCATCCTTTAGGACTTCATCAGACTAAGTTTATGTTTATGTTCATGTGACTACACATGAGCACAAATGAGAAATGCTGATCATTTAAATTAATTTTTTTTCTTTAATATGTGTTTTGCTTATATAATCTAGCTGATTTCATTTAGATTCTTTTTGTTTATGTTTTCATCACTTTTGTAATTAAATTTTCCACATTGTGCTAATAGAAGATCTACCAAGAATGGTGGAATGTAGTATGAACCAGGGCGCAAATTTACTGTGGATAATCTAATGATTAAAGCACCTTCTTAACATTTTTGTCTTTGTAAATTGTTTTCTCTTTTAATTAGAGTAGCATTTTTAAATCAAAATTGTGGTCAGCCTTGTTACAGTGAGCATCTAATGCATTTAATGCGTTGTTTTGTAAGAGGTCTCTTTTGTATTCATATTATCTTTTATTTAAATGCCCTCAGGTTTCTCTTTGTGGCAATTGTTACAGGTAATGGTGTAGGCGGTATGGTGAAGTAATGGCTAGCAGTTTGGATTAAGGAATTGGAGAGCCGAGTTCAAATTCCAGTCAGATCCATTACATTCACTTATGTGCTAATACCCTTGAGAAAGGTATGAATCTTCTTCACCACCCCCCAGCTATGGATAAATATCAGGACAAAATGGGTTCTATAGCCTTGGGAGAAGGTAACTGAATTCAAAAACCTGCCTGGAGTGGGTTGGGCTCCATCAGGCTATTTTGCCCAAGAAACACCATTTCTACTGTGACTGGAGTGTATATGGTGCCTCTGCGACCCTGATGGGTCCTGGGATTTGCGATTGCAATGGATTAAATTCCTCCCTCAAGTTTTAGCTTATTATTTTGTTTTGTATTAAGTCTTTTATTGTTTTAGACGTAGTTGTGGATAATTGTATATCGAGTTTAGATAAATTCTTTTCATTTGTAGTTATATATTTGAGCATGCATAAGTATTTAAGAATATCAATGAACAGGCATTTTAACATTTATATAGGCACTCATTTGCAAAAAATATTTGTGAATTTATACCCCAGGGTATTTTTGTTTTATTTTTGTAGGATGTAAGGTTGCCTTGCTTTATGATTCAAAAGTTTCTGTTTTGAGGAAACCTTCCTTCCTAAGCCGGAAAGAGAAATTTCAACTTTGGCAGTAAGATCTCTGTTCTTCCATACTTCCCATGGTTATAGTTTATAATTCCCATAGTTGCTGTTGAATATTCCCACACTCATGAATAAAAGAGAAAAGCAGTGAAGCTTATTCGTTTTTATGAATGGATGATTAGCTGACTAGAAACACTGACTGCTTTATATTGAAACATTTGTGTAGGAAAAGTTTAGCAGAAAAAAAGAATAAAGAGAAAGAAGGAAAATATAATCTTTATTTCTTCTGTTTTTCTTCTTTCCTGTTCTTCCCCTGAGTTGAACCGTTTGAGACATCATCAGCAGGCAAAGGTTTCCAGCTTATTTTTCTTTTTTAACAAAATATTTTATTCATATAAATTCATAGCATCATTATTCAGAAAGCACAGGTGGTCTAATAGTTATTGGGCTTTCATGTTGAAACACTGTTTCCCATATGACCACTGAAGTTAAGCAACGTCGAGCCTGGCCAGTACCTAGATGGGTGGCTGCTTGCAAATGTAAGGTGTTGTAAGCTTAGATATGTTGTTGTAATGGATAATACTCAAAATTTGAAATTTCCAATTTTTTTTACTAATGTTCACCCAACACAAGACCCAAGAGCCACTCAAGGTAGAGAGTTCCTGTGTGGATTCATATTAGCATAGAAAAGGATAAGCGTTGGGAGTAGACTACAGAAGTAGTCTATAGAAAGAACTGGAAACCCAATCCTAAACAGAAAACAAGGGATGAGCCTCTATTCCTGTTCAAAAGACCAGTATGAACCGGGTGATGATGTGGTCATTATATTCACTTATGAGTAAATACTATTGGGGAGAGGTATGAATCCACCTCTTCTCTCCCCAGCTATGGGTTAGTAGGACTTGTATCAGCAATTCATTATTATCTCCTCAAAATTCTTACACTAAAATATTTTCTGGTTTTAAATGACCTACAGAAGGTTGATAAGCCATAAAAAAACCAAAAGAATCAATCAATTAATCAGTTATCAGTATGAACATTGAAATTGACAAACCAAGTTCAAACCCCAGGTGGAGCAGTTTGTGTTCTCTTTGCAGTAATGCCCTTGGGAAAAGCATGAATCCACTTCTTTTCCCAGTTTTGAGTAAATAGAGGGAATGTGGTCCTATAAAAATGCACTTGCTGTTGAAACCACAATAGAATCAATTGTTGTAATTGCAGCTGTAAAAAACAAATCGATCGATTTAATAGTTATCAGTATAGAGATTGGAATTGATTTGTGAATTTGGTGGCATAGTAATTCAAACTCTGAGCCAATTTGTACAGCTTCAGACAGCAGAAACAGAGCAAGCAATAACTAAGTAGTGTTAAAAAGAATAAGAATAAGATATCCCCAGATGTGGAGAGTGGAATGAGAACAAATATAGATTAAATAAAAGATTCAGCTTAAAACTGGTAAAGTCAGTGAAATTGGTTAGACAGAACTATTTGGGAGCCATTGATGGTTGTGCTAGCACAGACTCACAAGCCATCATGACTGAAGCTTTGAGCGTAATGGCCTTTTTCAGACTGTTGATCATGCCAGATAATGCACTGTTTCCCAGAAACTGTAATTAAAGTCTGCTCAGCATAGTTGCAGTATAAACCAGAGATGGGCTCTATAGGTATTAAAGAAATACAAACGTGCCTGAGCAGGAGTCTGCAACAGGGATGGGCTAACTGCCCTAGTAGACAAGATACAAGTGGCCAGCCATTATAATATTTGATTTTAACATAACTAGTGATATACTCATTACAAGGCACTTATCACATTTTCTTAACATTGTAAAAAAAGGGTGACTCTGCATTTGCATTAACCTTAATAAAACAGTGAGAATGAATTTATTTACACTATTTACATTGTTCAGACTGTTGTCCTCATCTTTATTGTCATATTCAATACATGACCCATATTCAACACATAGCCCAGTGGATAAAGGTGTTGGTTGATGTAATCCAATGACTTGACCTAAAGAATTATGAGTTGGCCACAACAGAGGTAAACCAAAAATTGGAGAGTTGAGTTACTAAAGAGAATTAACTGAAACTGAAACATCCAGAAAAGGCATGGCATGTGGAACTAGAACAATGTACCCCAGTGTGCTAAATAAATGGTTTGGTTCAAAATTCCACCTGAAGAAGGCTGGGGTGCACAATGACCGAAACGTCACGAATATGGCAATAAAGATGAGGACAACAGTCTGAACAATGTAAATAGTGTAAATAGTTGCAATACCTCATCTCAGAAATATAGGCAGATGAAATTGTCAACAACAAGGTTTTTTATCATATAGTTTAATTTATTAAGAATTATGCTTGATATTATAGGATATAAACTTCTATATTTTACGGCACAAACAAGAGACACCTACAAATAAATCTTACTTAATTCAGCAGATAGGAAAAACTTTTTACAATTCTGTACAACCACAGCTCCAAATTAAATAAGTGGTTTCTGAAACATGATTGGATATGACAAGTCATGTGATGTGCTCTCTACAATGTCTCTGTGGTTGAAATTCAAATGACCTGGAAGTAGATCAGAGCTTGAGCTAATGTGTGCATTCCTGTGCAAAACTCAGATAGGATTTGTGAGCTGAGCACGGGCTGTCAAATAGCTTAAAAAATGGCTTGTCAACAACAGTCAGTGATCAGACCTGCAATGGTACAGTCAGTGAAGGACAGCTGGTGAAAGACAGTCAGCAAATCAGACCAGGCCTCAATCAACAACATAAACATATGTACCATGATAATGCATATGTCTACAATGATTATTTTACATACAATTCCACAACAGAATCAGCCCTATATCCCCTCTCTTTGTTCACTGTGTTTTAAAATTACTACTATTGCAATCAATTTCAGTAGTGTGTGCTTCACACGTGCACACATATTGTCACACCACATCACTTGATTTCCTTACTGGCAACAAAAACACTTCAAAACTTTACAGATTCACTTGCAACAAATCACTTTGAACAATCAAACTATTGGTCTCTTATTAGCCACAACAATGAACATTAATTTTTAATATGTAAATTTTTCCTCCTAAAATCTGGGTAGACTAACTCCACAATGTAAATGTTATGGTCCAGGTCCTTGTACCACGGTGATGGTCCAAGGTAGAACCAATAAAGAACTCGAACACGGATATGGAATAACACAGATATATTACAAACAGGAATATATACAGAGAAGTAGAAAGTGTTAGTACGAACAATCAGGTTTAGTAGGGAGAACAATGTAGTCTCGACCAGTATCACTATTCCAATGTCTTGTAGTAATTGTCTGAACGCGACTCTGTTTCGGACTGCCTCTGACTCGACTGACTGACTTGCTCACTTTGACTGACTGACGGACTTCTGACGGACCTCACTCCAGACTTCAGACTGAACAGTATTTAGTCAGCCCCCCCACAAGGGCATTATGTGGCACAAGGCCGGTTTAACGTGGGATTTCTGAGCCTGTGGGCTCGGCCAAAAATATGCCCTTTGAACCCATATAAACGGGTTCAGGGTCGGTTTACCTCCCCGAAAGAGACTCCGCCCTTCGGCATAGCCTTGTTTGGGTTCCTCCACGCCCGAAGGAAGAGAGTTCAACTGATCAGCCAATCAGCCGGCCCCCAACTTCGGACTGAACTCCCTGCTTCCTCTTGAGGCGCAGTATTTATTATGTATGGAATAGTCCATTATGTTATTATGGGTAAGGTCCCATAACAGTAAATGAAATAATGAACTCTGAACATGTATTTAAATTTTTGACAAGATATGATTTGCATAAAATTGCTTTGTAGATAAATTAATCATTTGCATTAACTTTAAGAATGTTTTTATCTAAAGCTGTGGTTAGTATTTTATAAATTTTTTTATGGTCCTTCTTTGGAATGGATATTTGCTGTACAAAAATTTTATTCTTGTGGTAATTAGAAAAAGGATTAAAGTAATCCCCAAAACATTTAGTTTCAATTGATATTAGATTAACAAAAAAAAAAAAAAGAAAAAAAAAAGACAGTTGTTAATTTTATTAATATTCCAAAATTTAATTCTGTGATCTAATTATAAAGATAGTATATATGAACATCAAAATAATAAACCAATTAACCTTACTTTCTTGTTTAGTAATTAAAAATTGATTACTTGCATATATAAGTAATGAACTCCAATCTTTTTAAATATGAAAGCTACAAATTGTAAGGCTGGGTCAAAAAAATCTCAAGGCTGCCATATTGTGTCTAACCCATTCATAAAACAAACTCTTGTGTTAGCCCCAATATCCATCCCACAGGAAATGGAACAATATAATATATATCAATTAAAGTAATATTAGATTTGTGAGAAATAAAAAAAGAATTGGTTCTTAAAACTCAGAAAGAAAGCAGCATTTGAAATATACTTTTTAAAATTGCTGCTGTCCAAGCTGGATATTATAAGTTCTTCTTCTATGAGCTGTGTTCTTTCAAAATGTTGGGGATCATGGCTCTCCACAATTTCCTGTTCCTTGTAGCTCTTAATAACTTTTGTCTTTTTGTCATTGTAGGGATGCAATAGACAATGGTCTCACTTTTGTTGAGATAATCATGTATGTCACATGATGGCTGGTGAGTGGTGGTAGGGAATAGAGTGATGAAGGCCAGTTGTTATATAAAGAACTTATGGAAAGGATGTCCGTAGCCCACAGTGGTAGGTCTTACAGGAAAAACCACATGGCCTCACCAAGTTCATTGAGAAACCAATGTAGCTGCAGTTTTCCCTTCAGGAAATATTACAAGTATAGTTCCCCACTTTTTTTTACACACTGTTGTTGCATATATGTCATGATTTCTCTCTCTGTGTGGGATATATATATATATATATATATATATATATATATATATATATATATATATATATATATATATATTTTGTGTTGTGTATATATAGCATTATAAAACTCTCTCTGAGAACAAAGCATGTTTATCATTTGTTTTCCATTCAGCTATTCTGTTCTGTCTGTGAAGTATGTTGCTATTATAACACGGGTATAATAATGCCCATAATGGGGGAAATGTAAATGGAAGAATAAACCTTTCTTCCATAGCACTCTCCTATTATATTGTTTCCTGTAAGACCTATTGCTATCGGCTATGAATGTCCTTCTTCTCCAGGCTCTGTATAACAACTCTTCTTTGTCACTCTGTCCCCTGACATCTCTCACTGGCTGTCATGTGACATTTATGATTATCTCAACAAAAGAGAGACAATTGCTTTTTGCATCCCTACACCATCTATCCCATACTCTGCTCTGTCATCCACTCACTCAAGCTCTCCAGGTTTGTGTATTGCTTTCCTCTATCAATCTGTCCTGTGAGTATCAAATTTTCTATGCCCTCCTTCCTCATTATGTCCCAGAAACCTCAACTGTCTCTTTCTGATATTAAGTATAAGTGTTCTTTTTGTTGCCATTGTCTCTAGAACTTTGTCGTTGTTCCCATGTTCGGTCCATGGTATTCTCAGTATCCTCCTACAGAACCACATTT